ACTACACAAGGGTGAAGGAAAGATGCTCTCTCTCTCTCCCTAGGCTATTTTTTTTTCTTTCGCTCCTATTCAAGGGTTGAGCCCTGACATCCAAGGTAACACATCCGCCACTTCGTTCTGCTTATTGGAACTAAGTCTCCCTGCGTTCAATGGGAACTGTCCTTAGACAACGTTTCAGGACTGCAGCCTCAGACGAAATCTAGGCTAAGCGGCCTGGCGGGTTGATGCAGTCTTCGTTAAGAACAATGCACTCCCATCCCTTCCTCTCTGCTCCTCTAATACAACAAAACCACCGTCATAATACTGAATCTTCCCCGACATCATTTCCAAATCGTTACCTGCGGGTGCTCAAGAGTTAATGGCTGCAGCGCACTGGGAAAGACAACCGATTCCAAGCTGCGGCAGTCCTCACTCCGGTCGCGCTCCCGGTGAAAGCTGCGATCAGTGCTTGCCCCCCGCCCAGACCATCCGGGGCTGGGCAGCCTAAATCTCAAGGGGCGCGATTCTGCAAGTGCTTCGCGATGCACTTTCGATCTTAAAGTTACTCAGGGGAATAAATTAGAGCATACATAAATGAATGCACGAGTGGATCCGGGAACAGCGGGCCGCCTCTCTCCTTTTGTTCTCTCTCTTCCCCACCCCGGATCTATTCCTCGGGATTCGTCCGCCGTTGCTGGCCACGCACAGCCCCGAGATCTTGAGCCAACCCCTTCCTGTGCCGTTATCGTTTCTGAGCCGGACTGCAACCGTCTCCGTTTTGGCAGCTAAACTGCGCCTCGAGTCTCCCGGGAGAGAAAAGCAGCTGATTTTAAGGAGCTGGACGGGCGCCCTGGAGTTGCCGTAAACAGATCTCCGCTTCACGTGTCAGCAGATTCTTTCATCGGACATATGTGTGTCAACAGTAGGCAAGGTTCACATGCATTTTAAAATCATGGTTTGTTAAGCAAAGACTGGCTTCACATACTACATGGAGCCGAAGACAAACCATGTTTAGCCTTAGCGCAATGTATGAACCCAGCCATTAAAACGCGTACAGTAGTGGAATCAGGTAAAAAAAAAAGGAGGCAAGTTATCTTCCGTTGTAAGGATTGCCAAGTTCTCTCTCTTCATGGATAATACGATTTCGAATTTGCTGTTGAGGACTCTTCTTGTCATCTTGCAGGTCCCCCGTCACCACTTGCTGGATGGGAGAAGAACTTAACTCATCATTATGTGAAAATACTTAGAGCAGACTCTCAGAATTTCCAGTATTCCAAAAAAATTAGGGAATCCTGTTCTTGCAAACATTACTGGACTCAAGTCAAATTAAATTTTATCTATGCAAACATTTCTAATAGCATCATTCAGGATCGTTCTGGAAAGTTCAAAAGCAGAGTAGAAATGTGATGGTTCTTTCCGTGTTTAGTTCTAGAGGTGCATAGAAATTATAAAGGCTTTTAAAGTTTTGCATGCTGTAGGGAAAATCAGTAGAAAGAGATACTCCATAATTTTAAGATTTGGAATGGGTTACCTGAAGAAGCTAATTATTAATTTCCCAAGAATCTTGGGCAAATTGACCCCCCTGGAGAATGAATATTTGGAAGGGCTTCTGTGTAATGAAGCAGCTTCCAGTAATTTCCAATATTTTCTTTTGTGCTTTTAATAATCTGTGCAAAATGATTTCCAGATCACTTAATGAATCACTTTTAGAATTCTATCAAATCTGGGCATTATCCTAACTATAACAGATCTATTATCAGTGCTATTCTTGATATATAGCAAATATGAAGATGTTTATTATCTGTTTTCCTATACTTCTAATTTTTAACAGGACTTTTCCCCTCTTTTTATGTATTATGGATTTATGTTAATAAGTTTCTTGTTCAACCAAAAATAAATAAATAAAATGAGTTAACGAATGACTTAAAAGCAATAGATCCCTCAATTTATCAGTCAGGAAAACAAGAAAAGAATCTTCTCCATTCCTCTTTTCCATCTCTGTCTCCCATTCCAGCTGGTGATGCCCCCAAACTTGATGAATGTAAGAAAATCCTGGCACTATCAAGAGAGTCTGATTACATGATGCCATCTCTTGAGCCATTACTCTCTTCCTCAGATATTCAGATTAGGACTACCATCTCTGGAAAGCAGCAAGTAAGTCTCGCTCCTGTAATTCACACTGAGGAGATGAAAAGAAGGTGGTGCCAACAAATCCCAGTTGAAGGCTATCATTACTGCATCCCCCCCAGGCAATCTGGTTGGATAGGGCAGACCTAGTGGGGAAAGCTTAGATCGGTCTAAATGTGTCCTTTGTTATGAAAATGATGCCTGCTCCTGCTCTAAGGTCTCAGTGCCATTGAAGTTCTTGGGTCCCTTCCTGTTAGGGAAGGGGCAGAGGAACAAGAGGCAACACACTGTCCTGCCTCTGCTTTGCATGTATGTATGGGAGAATCCAATTTCATTTTAGGGAATAATTTTTATTTAAACAATATTGCAGGCTTAAGGTTTCTAGGAGCAGGTTTGCAGTGGCTTTCATTATTTCTGGCACTTTTATGTCACAAATCTTTGGAGTAGCTTGTTACAGCACAGTCCTGTGCATATCTACTCAGAAGTAAGTTTCACTGAATTTAGTCAGAATCACGTCCAGCTGTATTAAAGGATTGCAACAGAATGGTTTCATTTGTCTTATGTACCATAGTTGCATTACACCCACTATTTATTTATTAGGGTTATATCCTGCATTTTCTCTAAGAACATAAGTAGGGTCCTGCTAGTCTGTTCTCACAGTGGCCAAACAACTGCACAAGGAAGCCAACTAGTGTCCCAGCAGGTGACCTTCAGGCAGCCTAGGGCCTCCAGGTGACATTCACAGCATTCCCTTCTTCAGTAATTCTTCATAATAATCACCCAGTGGGATTGGGTGAAAGTCACTGGCCCCAAAGTCACCCAGGCAGCTTCTGCAGTTGAGGGTGGACTTAAATCTGGGTCTCCTTGGTCCTAGGGCAACTTCTTAACAACTGTGCTGTTCCTTGTGCTGTCTTGCATTTATATTAGGGATAAGAGTTTGCCATTGATCTCTCTATTCCACCAGTTTTCACATTTGGCATCAAGAACTTTACCTGTTGGCTTCTAGCATTTACAGATATAGCTATATTTTCCTCCATAAATGTCTTTGATGACATTTGCTACTTTAGCTTCTTGAATATACTTTCATATATGTTATCTCTGCAAAGCTTTATGCAGAAAAGTTTCACATTCGGGCCCCTTAGGAAAGAGGTGTTCGCAACAGTATAACTTTGAAATATTTCAAGTAGCTTGGCCGGTTACATTGTAGAAGCATTTAAAGTACTAGACAACCTGTGACCCGTTGGGTTCATGTTTCAGATAGATCTCCTTACCTAAACAGAAAAAATAGAATAACCACGGATGGGCAAAAAAGCAGTGGGAGCAGGAGCAACTTCTGACTTCCTGCTGGCTTCCCCATTGAGTTTCCTTGTAGGAAGCTGGCAGGGAGCGCCTTCCTTCCTTCCTTCCTTCCCTCCCTCCCTCCCCAACCTGCACCATGCCCTCACCCCCCCTCGTGCACCCTCCCCAACCTGCACCCTTGTACACCCTCCCTGACCTGCGCTGCACCCTCCCTGACCCTCATTGCACCTCTCAGGCCCCCACTCGCACTCCCTTGCACCTTCTCTGACCCGCATTATGCTTCTCATGCACCCTCCCCGACCCTCGCCACACCTCTCATGCACCTCCTCACTCCCTCCCCACCCAGCAGCAGCCACTTACCTGCCTGCTGGCCTTGGACTTGCAACTTCCTGCCGGCTTCCCCACTGACTTTGCTTGTGGGAAGTTATCAGAGAGCATTGGAAATGACGATCACATGACTGTGTCTGACTGCAGCAATGCAGCGGCACTGAAGCAGCTACAACTTTGCCAAATTTCAATCCCATGGGAGTAATGGGTCCTGGATTTTGGACACATTCTGTAGGTTAGCCCATTTGAGGCACCCTGGTTCAAAAATTGTTGCCCTACGATGCACTGTTTTGTCCAGCTGAAGGTTACAGACACAAGAGTTTTAGTAGTATATAGATTTAATCTGCTCTTATACTGAGCTTGATTTATTTCTCAACTCTTTTTATTGCATTAAGAGTGTTTCTTAAATGGGGGCTGCAAACTCAGGGGCGGGGGTGGGGTGTCGTGAGACTGAATGGAGGGTTACCGAACACTGCTTTCTTTGCAAGTCATTTCCAAGCAGGCTTGCCAGTTTAATGCAAAAATATACAGAATGCAAGTGATGTGAAAGCTCCAGAGTTTGACAATTTGAGATTCCTATATGAAGCCTAACAATAGAAAGAAAATGCCTTGTTAACTGTTCCAGGAAGATACCATTAAGTGATGTTATCTTCAATTCACCTCTGACCCACTGTGAAGGCAACAAGCATTCTTCTTTTCCTGATCCAGTTTTCAAGTGGTGTTTTCCACCTTCAGTCAACACAAGCCTTGCAGTTTGGAATGGTTCACCGTTTCTATTAGCAAGGTAAATTTAAGGGTAGAGTCCTGCCCTGCTTCTATTGGCTCCCTAAGCCAGCTGTGGGTACACCCCCTCTGTTCCCAGGCCAGTTTTTCAGGGTCATTCACATTTGGTGCAAGAAAGTTAGGGGTCACCTATTTGAGGCTGCTCTCCCACTTCTCTTGCCAATCTCACCACATCTATCAATTAATCCCAACTTGGAAGTTTGGCAAGATCAATGTGTGTGTGTGTGTGTGTGTGGGAAAGCACCCATTCTCCTATCCCAGGGTTATTCTGTCTCACTGAGGTGTTCCATGGGATTGGAGGACTGTTGGGGAAAGGAAGTGTGATGGAGAAAGCAGCTCTCCAGCTGCCACCAAGAGTAAAGCTGTCCACTCAGCCTTACAGGGCTGGATGGGTGTACTTTTTGACACATGCCCAGCGTCTAATCCTGGTGGCAGTTTTATAGGAGGGAAGAAAAGGGGAAACAGGTCTGCTGTGATCACTCCATGGAACTGGAAAATTGGCCCTAAAGGAGCTACTGTCCAGTGCTACTCTTCTTCCCCTTCACTGGCTACCCATGGCAAGGCAGGGGGCACTTTATGCATGGCGAGGGCAGCTTTACTGTGGGGGGTACTGGCTAAAAAACTGTTTTCACTCTACTCTCTTTCCCAGCATGAAGGAAAGCAGTGGAAATCTCCCAAGACTTTGCTGCTTTATGAAAACCCTGCTGTTGTAACTCTTCGTGATCTCTCTGCCTGGTCTCTTTCGGACAGTGACACCAGGGCTCTGCCGAATCTTTTGTGGAATGGTCTGTTCTAGGCTCTGCTTAGCCTCTTGAGTTATCTCAGCTGGAACAACAGGATGGTCCCTTTCACCCTTTTCCATATCATCCATTTGTGATGAGCTCTGTTGGCTCTTGCATTTTTATTCCCATCTGTTCTCCTGCAGCTGGCAGCAAAATCCAGTTTTTAATTAGCACAAAAAAGCATATACCATACAAACATAGCCATGATTTTGGGTAGAAATGTGAACTCTCTCTTCAAAATATCTCTATAGCTGTGACCACAATGGCACACAGAGTTCTGGGAAAGATGTACAAATAACCACGTTGTTTCTAAATCAGCAGCATTCATGCCTAACTACTACTGACAATTTTCATCCTCTCAAAAAGAGCATAAATGAATGGTTTTGATTTATATCCGTATTCAGACATGAAGCTCACTGGGCAACCTGAACAATTATTTCTGAGCCTGGTAAAGGGTTGAGTCTCCCTTTTTACCCCTTCTTTCATGATTTATGTATCTTTGTTTAGCTAAAACATACGACTGCAATAAAGGATTGCCACACTTTGTTTGGTTTTAGCTTAGTATGTTCTGTGACTCCAGTAATTAAATGCCTCCCTTTTGGTGGCTCATCACTGGAAAATTCCATCTTAAATCCAGATTTCCATGACTGATTATATGCCTGACATCCTTACTTTGCTCTTAACACTGCATCATTTTGCTTTCTCAGAGTTTTCAGCTGTGCAAAGCATCTCACTATCAAATATACACAGAAGTATATGACTCCTCTGTTCAATGTGGTGAGATCAGGTCAGTTGGGTTGTATGAGAATGTTGAGGTAGAACTTGTGCCTGAGGCTGAGCTCCTTGTACTTGGAAGTAGAGTCAAAAGGAGGCATCGGACTAAGGCTGAATAACCCCTTTCATCCTGTGGGTTATCCTGCTTTATACTATCAAGACTAACCCATCAATGCAGGAAAAAAAGAGGACGGTCCTGCTTCTGAACACTTAGGACTCTGTGCTCCAACTTGGTGTCCTCCAGATATGCTGGAACTAGAACTCCTGATAGTTTTGTGGCTGCTTTAGGGTTAAAATTTGTTTCCTGGGTTGCTGTTACTTTTTACTGGATTCATTTATAATTATTGTCTTTTTGTTATGTAATGTGTTTTAGTCAAAGGGTAACAATAACAATAATAATTCCTCACCAGGAAATTATAGCATCTTTTGGAGTCATCCAACATGATGCCAAAATAACATTAACAAGGTTTTCTATTACCTCACAATTGATGATGTTGTGAAGTCACTAATGGGGAAACAGCCTTCCAGAATTCCCAGTCAAAATGGACATGGGAGGGGATGATAGGGCAGTCACCACTGGCTGCTCACGCAGAATGAAACCCGCCCAAATGCTTCAAGTGAGCATATTAAAATATAATTCCAAGCATTTCCCCCCCCCAGTATTTTGATGTCCATCCCCACATTCTCATTTACTGGGCCACTGACTTCAATGGACAAAACCCAAAGTAGATATTTAGGCTGACAGAGGGTACAAAATGAAGAAAGGGGAGGCCACTCAAATGATCATTCTGTCCTGGGGCTCTAAGGGTCTTTAAAAAGCCCTGCCATGGCCATGCTGGCAGGGGATTCGGGGTGTTCTAGTTCCGACTCACAGGGAAGCCACCAGGTTGAAGAAAGCTGGGGGGTGCACTCCTGAGCACAGCATCTGAACACACCACAGTGGGACCGGTGAAACAACGGGTTGACTCAGCACACCACACCTCTTGATATCTGAAAGCAGCTCAGCGGGTCAACAGCCAGCTTGCAACGTTGGCCCCTCGTTTGCTTATCTGTTCTGCATACAGTAAATCCGGAGCTTTCTCCCCGGCGGCTTCTGTTCAAACAGCGGACGGTGAGGTGCCTCGCTCCTCATTCGAGTGGACCAGACGGGGCTACACAAGTCTGTTTGTGTAATACTGTAACACAGCTATGCCTTTGCAAGAAGCGCTAAACTTGAGTTTATAAAGCACCTCGTGATGGCTTGTAGGATGGGGGTTCTTCTCTTCCTGCGCCCCTCTCTGAACCGCAGCCGGGACCGGGCGTTGTATGAACAAGCCGAGCCCGTCCTGGCTCCCAAGCAGAGCGAGGCTGTGGAGGGCGGCCTCTCCCCTCCAGAAGTCCTGCAACTCAGCCAGATGTTCCTTCTTGCACAAGCAGACGAGCCTTGGGAACCAGCGTCCATTTTCGCCTCAGGCCCCTCCGCCCCCCTCCCTTTGCAAGGCCGCTGAGTCTCCCGGAACTAATGTCTCAGTGAAATCGAGAGCTGTGGAACGAAAAAAGGGCAGGACAGGAAGACAGCCTATCTCCTTCCCAGTTTCCGGACTCTTCTAGGAATCCAAGCGCCGTTGATTTCGCCCGCAAGTAATTTTTGGAGACAGCCGCAAGGGGGACGGCCGTGCCCGCTCTACCTGGGGAAGTTCTCTAGGAGCACGACTAATTTCTGCTTGCGGCAGAGAGGAGGACGCTGTCCTTAAGGATTTGGTTCTGGTGCTAAATCGCCGCCTCTCCCGGCATGTGCCCTCCGGATGTGCGGGATTGCAATGATTCCTAATAGATGCGCACAATACAGGACTGGGGTGGAGGATGGGAATTGTCTTCCCAAACATCTGGAGGGAGTAAATTTGGGCGAGACTGATGCAATCATGGACTGTATTGCTGTTGGCTGTCCCAAGGTTTTGCAGGAACTCTTTATAAATTGGATATATCTGGATATTATTTCCTTCCTGTGCTTTAATAACACTGCTTCTTCCCAAAGGGAATAGCATATTAAGTATGTATGTAGATCTTACTAAACGTTTAAGCAATATTGGCCTTCATCAGTCAATGCACTTTTTATAAATATTACATTCTCTAAATAAACCTTATTTCTATTGCACAACACAAATGATTAATTTGTCTTAATGTCAGTATAGATATTGTATTTCAGGTCTACTACCTACTTGACATGATTTGGCTGTAATATTTCGCTCTCTTTGAACGGGTGGTTGAGGCAAAATCTGGTGGTAGATTCTTGGCAACCTGTTACCTTGAGAGAAACAAGATGTAAAGTTATTTCAGTAGAGATGCAGCCCATTCATGTCACTCTCTTTCCTAATAAGCAGTGCGTTCTATATTCATCCCCTTCCCCACGGACCATTTGACAGTGATGGTGTATATCAGTGTTTCTTAAAGTGTGGCTTGAGGACCCTTGGGGGTCCCCCAAGATCCTCTCAGAGGTCTGTGAAATCAAAGTTATTTGCAAAATATTGAAGGCATTTGCAAAAATTTAAAACAATGTCACTCTTATTATTATTTTTTATTTGTTAGAAAAATAGTTTTTTTCATGAAAAATATTTTATGTATGTAATTATCTAATGGGTTTAATATTGCCATTTTATATGATTCAATACATATTCTACAAATGCATCAATTTTAATTTTTAATACAGTAAATATTGATAAATATAACCCATACCAAAAAAAAAAAGTTGTTTTGGGGTCCTGCATAACTTTTTAAAAGTGGGAAGGAGTCCTGAAAGCAAAAAATTTAAGAAACACTGGTGCATATTATATGTTTTGCAGGCAGAAGCTTCATCTCTACAGGTGGTCCTCACTTAATGATCACAATTGGGACCAGCAACTCTGTTGTTAAGTGAAGTGGTCACTAAGTGAAATGGCAAATATGCTTATGATCTTACTTCAGCTTTCCTTTACTTTACAGACCTGTGAAGGTTGTAAATGTGAGGATTGGTCATAAAGTTACTTTTTCATTACTGTTGTATCTGCGAATGGTTGCTAAATGAGGCAGTGACTAAGCAAGGACTACCTGTAGTTTAAAGGATCAGTCAGATCTTCTGAGAGGATATATGAACATTTTACTAATGCATTGCAGTTCGAGTGAAAGCCTCGAGACCGCTGGCTAGAAATCTCAGAATCAAGAGGCTTTTCCAAGAATATCCCAAGCAGATGATTTCCTTGTCACTGTTTATTGCTCCAATCATAAGGAAACAATGTAATGTTGGTGTTTTTAAACTGAAGATCCTTTTACCGTCCCTTTGAATTTCACAGGCCACTTCATTGGGAAGAGAAGCATACTGGATCCTTCCATACCAACCTAGTTCTAATTTTTTTAAAAAAACTATTATTCTATCTGTTTTATATTTTATGTCTCTTGGAATCAGCATGGCAGTTACCATTTACTGAATGAAGGAAAACTATTCAGGTAGAAAACAAACTAAACTGTAAGAAAACTAATGTAATATAGGTAAATCTGGGGATTTTTTTTTTCATTTTTGCCATTCATTTCCCATCCTGACTAATATTCCTCCTCCAACTTATTTCTTTCATCTTCAAGGAAGGGGTCCTTCACACACATGTAGGCACTCCTTAGATGTGATTGAAGTTTTACAAGTCTGCACATTTGGGCATTATTTATTATGCAGTGTTGCACAGGAATTAACATTTAATCAGCATATAGAAGCTGAGTAGATTAAAACAGAGTTGGGCTGTTTGTGGTTTGGTGTGCTGTAGGAACTCTGACATTGTTCTGGAATATTGTGCAAACTGGACCATCCCATTAAAACACAATATGGTTTAATTGAGGACAGCATATCATGTGAATGCAGCAGTTCAGTTTTGTCAACTGGGGTCAGGGTTTTGCATGCTGTGTAAAGCCAGCTCCTGTAGTATATTGCATGTTAACCTCTAAATTAAAACACATTATTGCATATAAAGATTGGAAGTGAGGAGAAACTTGGTCTATTTGCAGATGTGTCTTCTTTGAAAGAGCCTATCTCATAATGCTTAAGAACATCCAACACAAATTAGATGCCAGATGTTCAAGCTGGCTTTAGACAACAAAAGACATTATTGCTTATGCATGCTGAAAAATTGGGAAAGACAAGTCAGTGTGTGCTTCCTTGATTACAGAAAGGCCTTTGACATGGTGTTGACCATGCCAAGCTGTGGAATGTCCTTAAGAAAATGGGAATCCCAGAACATCTCATTGTCCTCATGTGAAACCCGTATACAAGTCAGGAAGCCATACACTGGACAGAACATGGTGAAAAAGACTCTTATATATTATGAAAAAAGGCAAAAGTTGTGATGGGACAGTAGTACAAATGAAAGATGTCACTGTGGAACCCTTGTAAAATTCCACAAACGAAGCAGGATCATTGCACAATAAAAGTCTATCCTGGAAGCCCCTTTAAAATCTTGCTGGTGATGCACTATCTACCTCACCTACATCACAGAGTTGTTACGAAAATAAAATTAGGTAACAACCCTAATACTGTATATACCTTTCTGGAAGGGGCGTGGGAAACAACTTTTGTATAGGTGTGGTTCAATTAAAAGCAAAGGAGAATTTTGTCAGCTGATCCCCCAACAAATGGATGAGAAGGGAAAGCATTTGGGAAAAAGGGAATTTGTACAAATGTATTTTCTACCCAATCTTATCCTAGAAACATCTGATGACTGAGGGGTTAATCACTGAAATCTTGCTGTGCTACCTTGGTAGGTAAGAGAAAAATG